ATTAGTCTAATGTGTAGTAGTTTTGTTTGTTTTGGTTTGTTTTCTTTTTTCCCCCCACTGGCTGCAGCCACCGATCAAAGTCTTGACACCAGATACGCTCTGCACAAGTATGCAGTAGGTCAAGCCAATCGCCGATGGGCACAAAACACCCTCCTGAGAGAGCTTCACAGGGCCCCAAATAGGCGGCTATTGATCTGCCCGCACAACTCTGAGCTCAGACAAGGAGCCACATTATCTTAGCTGCCCTTTGCAGTGCCCTCCCCAGTCTCTTGCTCTTTATGAGCCAAGAGCCGCTGTCTGCACTTTTGCCCGGCGTACACAAATCCGACTGGAATTACCACTCGATTTGATGAGGCCCAATTGAATCTGGAACGATCTAGCGGTAGATTTGTTCCCATTTAGTGATGAAGCTTCCCTTCAGTTTAGCTCTAATCTGACGTGATGTAACAGCGAGCAGCCCTGACATCCTTTGCAAAGCCAGACAAGAAACGGGACTGTTTTTATATATATATATATATATATATATATATATATATATATATATACTTGATTGATTTGGTAATACGGGTCATCATAAGCTTAGGTGGAAGTGAACAAACCAAGTTTTTGAGGCTAGTATGAACGTTTACAACAGCCGTTGTTTATCTCTTTTGAAACATGCGGTTGCGTTACTTAGAAATTCGATAAGTGTTGCGCGCGTGGCTTGGCTTGCCTGGCAACCGTATTTCTTCACGACTCCACAGATCAAATGAGAGCATTCGTTAAACTGCAGGCCTCTGCCATGGCTAAACTCTAATGCCAAATAGTGGGTTGACTCCGAAGATCATTTCATTTTTGTAGCTCAACAGTGGGAAGTAACAGTTTTCCGGTTCTGTATGTGGCATTTGTGTTTGACGAGCAATAATAAAAACATTTGGAGAACATTCTGCTAACTGTCTAAAAAAGGGGGTGCCAAACTCATTTTTGTCACGGGCCAGATTTTATTTACAGTTTCCCTTAGAGGGCCGTTATGACTGAAACCATATAAAGAAGTCAAGAATAATGTTTTTTTTTCCTCCATCTATTGTTTAAGTTACTGTAACAAGAAAATGCGTACAATGTCAATCTTGTTTATTACAACTGAGAATTAGAATTTTTTTTGAAGAGGTTTCAGCAAGCATGATGAAAGTTTTCATTTTTGCTTTGCTTTCGCGGGCCACATAAAATTATGTGGCGGGCCAGATCTGGCCCCCGGGCCTTGAGTTTGACACTTGTGGTCTAGCAGATTTGAACAACTGCCTAGCATATACCTTTTAAATGTAGTTTTGTTGTGGTAAGGAGAACGTGGATACCCCATTCCCCCTCGCCCCCTTTATACCGTGTGGCAAACAAGCACGAAAGAGTGAGCATTCGGTGTCATCGGTAGCGAAGGAGAGGAGAGGAGAGGATCATTGACGAGCTAGCTGATGTGATCCGTCGACACCGGAGTATGGGCTCACGACACTTCTTTCACCATTGGGGTCTGGTTTCTCTACCGTGGCGAGCCGCTTCATTAAGTAAGCATGGCTCGGGGCTTCTGATTTGTACCCTGCCCTCTCCCATGACCCCCTGCTTGCCAGTCATTACGCACACACGCGCGCACCCTCGCACACAGTTGGCTTAAAGACACACACGGCATGTCCAGTCGCACAATAGGAGAAACTCCTGGATGTAACCGTCTTGCTCCCCAACTCCTGCACTAAAACCCACTTGTTGGCCTCGCCCATTACTCAATGTCAGTCCTAATCAGACGAAGTAATAGTACACCGATCAGCTAGAACATTCCCGTTCTTTACTCCCAACACGAAGGCTAGCACAGGCTTTATTTTCCTGCGAGGGGCCCAGTTGTGCTCCACTGATTTCTTTTCTTCTTTTTTTTTCCTTCTTCTTCTTCATCTAGGGATAAATACAGCTAATTGGAGTGTAACGTGCTGGTAAACGTCTAAAACACTCCAGCAAGTGTCCTTCGGTAACTGACTAGTACATTCCAGGAATTGTCTAGCACGTTTTGGTAACTGTTAACATGTTCCATCGCTGTCGATGATGTTCCAGCAACTGTCTGGCACGTACCAGTGATTTGGCCATTCCGGTAGCTGTCTGGCACATTCTGATTGCTGCCCAGTACATTCCAGGAACAGCCCGGCACGTTTTTGTAACTGTCTCACACTTTATTGTTAACTATCTGGTCAGTTTGGGTAACTGTCTTGCACATTCTCGTACTTGTTAGGAGCCATTCCTGTAGCGACCATATCACAATCCGGTAACTGTCAAACACATTGCATTAACAGTCAAGTGTCGTCCTGTAACTGATTAATATGTTTCATTAACTAGCGCATTTTAAAGCCGAAGAAACTCCAGCCCATTCCGCTAACTGTCCGGCACATTGCGGCAAATGTCAGGAACATTCTGGTAACTCCCTAGCAAAATGTTCACTGTTTTACATGTTCCCGTCGCCGTCTACCTGGTAAATATCTAACACGTTAAGGTAGCTATTTAACATGTTCCGGTATGTGTCCTCCACTCTCTGGTTACTGTCGAGGACACTCCGGTGACAGTATAACATATTCCGGCAACTGCCTAACATTCGTGTCCAGTTGCACAATAGGGAAAAAAAGGAGACCGCTCCTCTTTCAAAAAAAAAAAAACACAAGGCATTTGCAGGAATAGTTGTTACGATTGTATTATTGTCCACGTTTTATGTTGTGTTCTGTTGTATTGTTTTTATTTTCTGTTAAAATGTTTGGTAAAGCGCTTTGTTGCAACTGCAGCTGTTGTGAAAGTGGTATCTTAAGTCAAGATGTATTGTTAAACTCCTGCATGCAAACGCCACGCTCCCCAACATTCGCACGAAAACCCACTCGTGGGTCTCGCCCATTACTCACTGTCAGTCCTAATCAGCCTAAGTAATCGCACACCGATCAACAAAAAAATTCCCGTTCTTTACTCCAAACAAGAAGGCTAACACGGGCCCTCTATTCCCGCGAGAGGCCCCGTTGTGCTCCACTGACTTTCCGGGATAAATGGAGCTAATGGGAGTCATATGCTGGCAGTTGGTTTAGGCCTCGCCAAAGTAAAACATTTTGAGTGTGGTCATGGGGTTGCAAGAGATGACATGGAAAGTAACACAAGCCGGTATGAAATCTGCGTGCGGAATACCTAATGTCGCACTGGAGTGTTTTATAAGTGCGGCAACCTCCGCTTAACGTGTACAGGTAGGCACGTTACACAGGCGGACCTGCCAACGCCATTAGCTTGGTATGTGTCTCTTCCCGAAAGCAATTAAAATGATAACATATATAAAAATTGCCACTCTACCTTAGCTTATGTTCAGATTTTCATCTTTGTCCATCCGGTCAGACTAGATTTCCCCATTCAAAGTTGAAGTGAGAATTTCCCTGATCAGCAGAAGTCACTTTTGATGTTAAACAAAAAATGTCCTCATAGGATTGTATATTTTCAGGTCAGAATTCAAATAATTTTAAATTTGTCCACCAAACGGCACAATTTTTTTCCCCCATTCAAAGCATGCAGCAAATTTTTACACCTTTAATGTGTAAAATGTTGTCTTTTTCATTATACTGCAAATGAGATTTTGGTGCGGCTTTGCACTTTTATGTTAATTTAGGGATCATAGGCATTCTTAAGATATACATAAAAATAGATCTGTCAAATTCAACCCGTAGTCATTCATCTAAACCAAAATGACTTAAAAAAAACAAAAAAACGAAGGGTTAACCTCTTTTACAGCAACCACGGCTGCATGCAGCCACAATGTGTGCATGAAACAAACCACACTTCCATATAAGCGCCTTGGACCACATCTTTAGCCATGCCGCCTGTACCCAGGATTGGCCAAATGATTCCCCCCATGTTTGCTTCGCCACATGTTTTGGCCGAGGAAGCAGTTTAAGCGTACGTCAGCTTTTAGCTCGAGAGAGTACTCATTTGGCTCCTAAAACAGGATTTTAATGAACGGAAAAATCTGGATGCGTGTTGTGGAAAAGGATGAAGCACTTGTGGCTGTAGGCGTCGTCAAAACATCACATGATGCTGGAAGAATGATGTTCTGAGCTGCACTGTTAGACCTCCAGAGGGACCAGAAGAAGCCCGACTTAAACACACGTTGTTGTCTTAAGTTAAAAAACACAAAAATGAAGCACCTTCGTAAAATCGCATCAAACTACCCAGGCTGTTTTGTAAAGAAACAATTGCAAGTCAAATAGCCGAGAGCATGGAGCGCCTTACTTAGCCGCTTTAGTTGCGTGCTAACTTTTGTTTACTCTGACAAGGAGTTAATGAGTTTGTTTATATGCAAAACTGAAACAAATCTTGGCCAAGGAAAACAGACACTAAAATTGTGTGGATTTTGTGCATGAGTCTTGCTAAATGTCCTCAGCTAAATTTATTGGTTCCTACGTTGCCCCCCCCCTTTTTTTTTATGTTATAGAACAGTGCTGTTTGTCTTTATTTACATGCCCGTAAATTTATTAATTTAATTTTTTTCGGGGGCCGGAACGGATTAATGGCATTTGTATTCATTTAACTGGTGAAAATTGATTCGCTATACGACTAAATTGACTTGCCAAGCTTTGTCAAAGAATGAAGTAAACCCTTCAGCCGAGGTAGCACTTTAAGCTAGCCGCGGCGCGAATGCGAAGCAATTTTTGTACCGTCATGGCCACAATTATGCCATTCGAGGAATGGTGTCAAGATATGGATCATGTTTTGGAAAATTGTGTCGCTCGTACCTTCTTCGTGTTATCTAATATCTCACATGCCAGCATCACAGAGTTGTTTTTGTTCCAGAAGACAATGCCTGCATAGCAATGACCTAAAGACACTGTTATCGCCACTGTACAGATGTTTGAAACGATTCGAGAAGAACTTTCCATATTTGTCTTTTTGTCCCGAACAGAGAGTGTCTCAAGTGCCAGGAGCGTCCTACCTGCTCTTTGGCTTAAATGGGAGGTGCCAGTTGACTGAGTGACTGCCCGTCTCGGACCCTCGCCCAAGATGACTGCCCGTGGCCTCCTGTTGCTCTGCCCGATGAGACTTGTGAAGAGCGCTGCGTTACCATGGTGATCATCTTCTCCAAAAGCCTGGAAAAGAAGAAGGGTGTCAATGATGTAAGGCCCAAGAGCAGCGAACGACAGCCGGTAAGAGATGAGAGTTGGACCGTTTTGCTTTTTTCTTTGGCCTTTTTGACGACACAACCTCTATTGGGAAGTATGCGGACTTGGTTTTCAAAACGCCAGCGGTTTCATTTGGTATCGCAGGGTGGTGTTTTTACATGTCGTTAGTCGTTACCTGAATTTTACAAATTAATTCCATCCATCCATTTTCTTCAGCGCTTGTCCCTTTATTCGTTTTGTGGGTGAGTGGAAGCCTCGATCGCATCCTGAATTGCTCGCCAGCCTATCGCAGGCCAAGACTCGAACATGGAACGGTGAGGCAGACAGGCTAACCCCTAGCGTACCGTGCTGCCCGACTTCAAAAGATTATTCCGTGGAGGAAAAAAAAAAAGTATTTCGTGTTTATTGTCTATAGAAAAATTTTATTTCGTGCGTACCTCTGCGTTTGACCTTCAGTCATTTTGTTGCACATGTACGTCAGTTTAGGTTGACAGCACATCAGTTTAATGTTAGCAGCTACTTATCCCTTGTCAGATGATTATCACAACTTCATGTCATCCCACAGCCGCTGCATGTAGCAACAAGCCGGAGCCATGCTGCGTTTTAATCTTGAATCCTTATATTTATTTAGCGACCTCACAAGTTGCTCCAAACAGTCCGATACACTTGGACCTTAACTTAAAAGTGCCCAAATTTATGAGCTTTTTGATCCCACATTTGCAAGACAAAATATTATAGTCATAAACTTCAGACGGATCGCCGCTTGAGTGAAGCGGAAAAAAAGACATAGAAAATAGATAAGTCACAAAGTGCGGTTTCACTATACATGGCGCAATATTAAACGTTTCATACGTGTCTGTATACAGGTTTTGGATTGCCCCGCAAAGCCATCGGCACCATTTTCCACCGAAGAAAACATGTTTTGTCTTTTTGTTGATTGTTTTTTTGTTGTTGTTCTTGCGGTAGTGATAACCTCAGCGTGAGTCACCCGTAATTTCCCTCCTCATTTTCTCTTTTGTCCCTCGTGTGCAAAAGAAGCCGCCACCCTGTTGCAAGCGAGTGAACTGACAGATCACAAGACAGGCGTGTGCAGGCAAAAAACTTCCTCTGCGCACAACACGATCGCAACGAAACCTCCACTACTGGACTTAAACTAAGTTAATAGAAGCCAAAATGTTAACAGAAGTCTTCATTGATGGACCATTTTGCAGGGTATCAATGGATCAGACGGCATTTTCCTCTTGAGTAAGTTGGCTGTTATTTGCATACCAACAGCCTGTTGAGCGACGTGTCAGCCATTATTCTATACGTCAAATGCACAATGGCCTTTGTGTATACACACACACACACACCTTTGTTGGTCGTACAGCGTTTGTAGGCTAAATCAATATGTTTTTTGATACATCTCATGAAATAAAATATCCATGCATTCATTTTTTATGGTACTTGTCCTCATTGACCGGGTGCCAGCCAGTTTCGGGTCACGTTGAGACCAACAATCATTGACACCTATGGACAATATAAATTTGTCAATAAATAATAAACCAGGCGGAACAGCTTTAAAAAAAAAATAAAAAATTAAATTTGCGTTTCCTTCAGTAAGTTGCACTGGCACAATCATTGTTATTATGATTGTTTTTAATTTTAGGCAGCACCACTTTAAATCTTCTCGGTTAAGGACAAAAAAAAAAAAAAAAACGAAACAATGTTATTCTTTGTTGTAAGTTGATCCGTATATATATATTTTTTGCATACAATGTTTTCTTCTTCCTGAGGGGTGTAACACAAAATATGGTGTCATGTTTTGGGCAGCACGTTTGGTTCACTAGTTTTGCGTAACATGATGTATTGTCGTGCGTGTTAAAGGAGCTACGAGGAGGACCTGAAAGGCAGGAGTGCCTGGGACGGGTTTTGCAAGGGTTCTCCACACCCGCAAAATATGAAGTTTCATTCAATATTAAATTGTGCACGGGTGTGAACGTGAGCGGGAACGGTTGTTTGTTTATATGTGCCTTCGAGATGGGCTGACGACCAATCCAGGGTGTGCCAAATCCCAAAGCCAGCCGGGATAGGCTGCCGCTCACCCGGGACTCAAAGATAGATGTTTTATTTTCATTGGCGTGTGACAATTATATGGCTACATGAATTTTTTTTCCCCAGAGCAATGATAACTCTGAGGCATGCGTCGCATATAGGCCACTGGTTTGGAATGCAGTATTCTCTCCACTGGAATGCGATACTCTTTGCATAGATTCCTAACATAGTATAGTTTCTAAACACAAACTTTCACGTTTGACTATTACTCTTCAAGGTAATAACGTGTAGTACTGTATCTAAATTGGGATTCAATCAAGCCATCCATATTGGGTTATGCATTCACACACTTTCGGTTCTCTGATTCTTTTTGGCTTCTTTTCAGCGTGAGCGCCACACCATGAGCAGAGGGACGACCCTCTTCTCTTGTGGAAGTGCTGGTGAGTTGTCTACTTTGTAGTCATTTGAGCCATTCGTGTCTTAATGTCTGTCAAGTTGCGCAAAACGGAGAGGTCAGAAAAGAAATGTGACCAGAAAAAACATTTTTTTGGGTCATGTCGCGGGACGCTGAAGAATTGATGGTGGGCTGCAAATGGCCCCCGGGCCGTAGTTTGGATACCACGATTTAAGCATCCAAACTGCAGCTTCACTCTCCGTGTCAATTTCCTATTGTCAGAGTTGTGGTGGACAAGTTTTAGGTGGCACTGCGGTTGATTTCTTTTTACACTTGTATGGCGATGTTTAAAAAGTGACCGTGTGACGCATGGCTTGCGGAATGTATGGACTCGCAGTCAAAGACTGCAGCATCACCGGACACGTTGAGCCGTTTTACGCACTGGACATCTTAAAATGAGACGTGTCAATAACCTTTGCACCAGCTCTTATAATTAAGACGGAATATATTAAATATTAACAATGTTCAACTTGTTACACTTTTATGACCGTTAATGTTACAGTATTACAGGGTCTCTTGGCTCACTTAAGACGGGATGGAGTGCTATCAGAGTCAAGGAAGACAATAGTTAACTTATTTTTATACTTGTGTGAAAGACAAGAATCTTAAAATATTACTTAGCGGTTGTTGGTGGATACTTAAAAAAAAAAACATACATCTAATTATCCAAAATGAAGGTCTTGATGAACTCCGTGAAGCTAATAAGTCTCAAAAAGGCCACAGACACAAACAAAACAGACTGGCGTCATTTTTCAGTTAAAATTATTCGAAATGTATTCAAAATGTCTTTTAAAAAACGTCTTAAAAATGTAAATTATTGCTATCATATTATTGAGCCTACATTCTGAGGTAGTCCTGTTGCTCATCTTAAACCAGTTTTCTAGCGCTTTCAGCGCTACTTCAAGTGTGCCAGAACGGATCGTGTTCCAACTAAGAGGTTCCGCTGTATTTGGCTTTCACTTCCTCTCCTCTCGTCAACATCTCGTGATCGGCGTGCACCTGCTCCATGTTACAATGCACGTTACGCTCTCACGGGAGCTTTGCAACAATACACTTCCTTCGATTAAAAATACCCCTCGTCTTCTCTTCTTTTTCTTTGCGGGTGTTGACATTTAGAGGCGTGTGGCGAGGGCTTTGCATGGCGTGCCTCGTTCATTCAGGCGTCACAAGACACTTTTGAAGTCGTCTCTTTTGTTGAGTTGTTTTCGTGACATTCCTGTCAGGCCATTGCTGCATTTAAATGGTCTGGCCAAAAGAAACCATTTACAGGCCGGCGTCAGAGAACATGATCCAAAATGGACAGGATTTGGGTGCGAAAAGCCATCTTGTTTGGCTCAGTGGCTCAAACCAGCTTGACAATATGCACCAGTGGTTCTCAACCATTTAGTCAATAAATGTTTTAAAAAACAAGATTAAATGCAGGGATGGATGGATTCAATGCAAACGTGCTGCCGTAAAAGGTTAAATACAACTGAACTGGACTTGGGGAGCGGTTCCTTTCACGTATCACGAGGGTGCCTGAATCATGGTGACTGTAAATCATCGCAGTCATTGAACCGTGTCGGCCTAAATTTGAGATTAGTAAGAGTGATGTGTTTTTTCACGCTGACTGTGATCATGAATGAGGTTTTGTGAGGCGCCGTTGGTCTACTCTCTACTGGTTTGCTGCCGACAGAAGTACGACATGACGTCAGCTCAGGCCTTGTATTATCGCCAACGAGTTATCTGGCACTTACACAACAGTGTGTTTTGAATTAGATTTTTTTCAATTTTTTTTTTTTTTTTTTTTTTTTGCTGAGGCAGAC